AAAAAAAAAAAAAAATAATTTTTTAAAAAAAAAAAAAAAAAAAAAAGGAACAAAACCATACATATGTACATCAGCCACACAGGCATCTTGTGTGTTGAATTGGACTGGGGGGGGAAGGAGAGAGGTAGGGTGGGAAATATGGCTCCAGGTGGGTTGAAGATGAGGCATTTTCTAGGCTTGGACCAAAAGCTACAGCAGTGTTGCACAGGTAAGTGAGACCCAGCTCAGCTGGAGAGGGCTGGTCATGAGGTGGAGGAAGTTTGAAGATGCTGGATGGATGGATGGATGACATCTCTGGGCCAGCCTCTCCTCCAGCTGGCTGCTGCTTCTCTCTTCCATTACAGTCCAACCATGTCCCATCCTACTCCTTCTGGAAGAAGAGCAGCAGTGGGATGGGTGGAGAGGAAACCGAACAGAGCTGCCCCCCACCCCTTCTTTCTCTTCTTTAAGCCACAGAAGATTGGACCTAGGTTTTGCAGGAACCAGAGATACGCAGAGGCAAGAGGCATTTAGGACTGCATCTCCCCCTCCAAACCGCCTCCCAGCCACAAGAATGGGCTCAGCTGGTGACTCGGCAGGCGCCTGCCCGCCCCCCACGCGCCGGCCGGGGGGAGGGTTGGTGCACAAAAAAAACACCACATCTGCTTGCCCTAAGGCCCTGCCTGCAGCTCTGCTTGTCACCCAGTGCAACTGGCTCAGGTAAGCAGCACCAACCACCGGCACCCATGTCTCTTTGTGCAAGGGGGATGACTGCTGCACAATAAAAAGAGGGTATGCTCCCTTTTCAACCCAGATGAGCTAGGGGCAGAAATACAGGGAGAAGGGGAGGTATATCTTCTTTTTCTTTTTAAAAAAAAAAAAAAAAGACAAGGATGGAAAGAGATGAAGACCAGGCACTTGAGGAAACCCAGTATACTATTCTTTTCCTCCCCCAAAGAGCCTGGACAATGTCGGGGTTTGTGGCTTTTATGACTTTCGTGCTTTCAAAACATAAAATTAAAAAGCAAAAAAACCAAGATGAGGTAAGAAATTTCTCTACAAAAAAGACATTTGAGTCCAGGGTGAACGGCAGTGTCCAGCACTATTGCTTAACATCATAGGGCTCCATGCCCACCTGCCCCCTCCACGCCTGGCACTATCCGCCTGGCTGGCCTCAGCCCCTGAGCTAACAGCTGGGTGAGGTGGTGATGGGGCTGTGCAGGTATGGGAGGCTGCTGGGGGTGGCATGGACACCGACAGAGACTGGGAAGCTGAAGACAAACTGGGAGGTAGGGGTGGAGGTGGCCTTTCCTCGCTCCCGCAGTGTCCCTGAGGGGCTGACGGCTTCCACTGCACATGAGGTGGCCAACACCTGCGACTCAAACTGCAGCAGCTGCCCCATGAAGCTGAAGTTAGGGGAGATGATGCTCCGGCGCTGCTTGACAAACTCAAAGGCCTCCTCCAGCTTGACACGCTTCTTCATCATCAGGTAAGCCAAGCAGATGGTGGCTGAGCGGGAGATACCAGCCTGGCAGTGGACTAGGACCCGGCCGCAACACTCCTTCACAGAGTCTGGAGGACAACAGGGGATGAGACATGAGACCAACACCCTTCCAACAAAGCCCAACCCCTCGCCAAACCTCCAGGTGGTGGCTGACCTCCCTCCCGCCAGTGCAACAAATGGCCTGGACTCTGCTGGACCCCAGTCCTCTCTGAGCCAAAGGCTGCAGCTCTTTGAGGCAGGAACCTCCCCCCTGGTGAAACACACATGGACGCTGCTTTTCTGCGCAGGCACTCACCGATGTACTCTATTGCCTCCATGAACCAGGAGCTGATGTCAGCTTTGTGGTTATCCTCCACGGGGATACACTTGTACTGGTAGTGCCCCTCGAAGTGGTTGGGGCAG